TTACATGTCCTTGAATGCTTAAAAAAAGCCCACAGGTTTATTCTTGTTTTTTAATTTCCTCTAGCAGTGAAAGGACTATGGATCTGGTTTTAGAAATGTGCAACACTAATTCCATCCACTGGTGTGGAGTTTCAGGACGGCAGCTTGGAAAGCTGCACCCAAGTTCATCCCTCCATCTTGCCCTTACGTTGTTGTCTTCAGTTCAGGGATTGCAAGTAAGTCTTTAAAGCATAGTTTTTTTATAAGATAGCTGATTTATAAGCTTAGTAATTCTTTCTAATAACTCGTATAAATATTTTCCCTTTCTAGAGTGTCTCTGGCTTAAGACTTACTGACACGTTTTTGAAGAGAACATATGAGTATGATGATATTGCACAAGTCTGTGTAGTTTCTTCAGAAGTCAAACAAAGCTGAAGAAAAAATTCTGCATTTCTGCTGGGCTTTTTTTTTTTGGACCAACTTCTTAATGTTTTTGCAGGTGAATCATATTAAAATGTGTACAAACAAACCCAAATCCCTATATAACTATAAATGTAACTGTGCTTATTTAATTTCTCTGAATTCATTTTTTTAGTGTTTTAAAATCTTTAAAAAACATGCATATGCATTTTATCTCCTGAAAATAAAGCCTTTAAAAAGCGTGGCTCTAGCAAATTATATTGCATTAACATCACCTTGGGGCAGGGGAGCAAGATTGATATGAAATAGTAGCACTTTGTACTTACTTTTGTTATTTTTTGGTGGGGGTTACAGTTCTTAAATTTTGGTTCTGACAAAACTGCTTCAGTGTGAAGAAACTTGCCTCTTATAGACAAGTTCCTGGAATCCAAACTGCTAAAAGAAATACCTTGGGGTACCTGGCCTGGCAGTGTGTTTGCATGGTACGTGCATCACCATTAGAACTAGAGCTTAATAAAGGCATGAGATGAGAGAGAGCAGCTGGCACTGTTGAGGTGCCAGCAACTAGAAAGGAGAGTATCAGCCAGAGAATGTGCTGGCTGGGGCTCAGTCTTTGAACAGAAGCAATACAGCAACTCTGTCCCAGTTAGCCGCAGTTCTGCACAGAGTTGTGTGTCCCTGCAATACTGTGAATAGGCACATTACTTCCCAAACCAACAACTAAAACAGCAGAACTTGGGCATTTTTTTATTGTTAAACAGAGGCAGTGCAAATTATTCTTCCTGCTCCAGGGGCATTTAAGTAGATTTTTAGGAAAATGAGGAGAAAAACCCTGAATGGCTGCCCTAGATCAAGTTCTCCAAAGCACATGCAGGAAGGAATTCAGGATTCGGTTAAGCACCAAAATGTACTTTTCCCTGGCTTTGTTCTTACAAAAGATGTAAGTATCTTTGGCTGAAATACCTAAGTCACCCAAAGGTAGTCATTTAATACAGAAAATGGTGACTGGCTTTTCTAGTTTAACACTCATAAACGAGTGTTACAGATTCTAGTCAGTGGCTTGTCATATTTCTCAGCTACCGTATTGGTTCTTAGCCACCTTACTTAGTTTTGATAGTATTTTACTTAAGGCTTTCCTGTGTATAAAATCTTTAGTGTAGAATTCAATTTTAAAATATTAGATACATTTAGGACCTGCTTACTGAATTGAGGGAATGAGTCTGTAGAGGAAAAAAAACATCAAAACTATATCATGCACATTTAATAAAATGCAGATTAACCAATATAAACAGGGATTTTAAAAATGCAATTTATCTCTTACTCTATATGTATCAACAAACTAAAACAGTAAAACCACAAGTATCCAGACAAAAAATGTAAATAACTTTATTTATAATCTATTTTCAAGTTAAACTGACACAAGTTGAAGAAGATGTAACCATATGGTAATAAGAGGTAGGAGAGACACAGAAATGGTAGACAAGTTGCATTTTGCCAGTATGATTTTCTGTAGCCCTGAAACAGAGTACAAATCCAAAGCTGCAGACTTAGTTCTTTCTCAATATGCACGAGTGATTTTACTTTGTACTTGTTACAAAACCAAAAGTGCAACTGAAACAATTTCGAAGCCGAACATTTCATTAGGTATCTTTATGATCAGGCATAGTTAGAATATACTTCCATGCAAGCATGTTACAGGAGTTTACAATTCGAGTGCAAAACATTTTCTTCTATAACAATTATCACACTTATATGCTGATGGTACAGTGATGATACAAAATAAATTAGGTGTTAAACGCATATTTACCTAGTTGAATGATAAACTGCAATTGGCTTTAAATTAAAGCTGTATTTATGGGAATTGTGGTTTAGCACTTGGATCTAGCAGGACAAAGAATTTTAGTGCAAAAAAAAAAAAAGTGCAGTTATTACACAGGAAAAGATTCCTTCCTCACCCTGTGATTAAGAGATATTGCATGACTCTGAAACAATCTATCCTATTCAAGGCAAAATAGACTTTAGCATAAATGATCCCTCTGTTCCTGGTTTCAATGGAAAAGCATGTAATGACAGCTCCTGTTATTGGTTTCACTGTTTTTTTATTTAGGCTATAAAGCCCTTTCTGTTAATATACAAGAAACAAAGAATGTTTACAAGTTAAGTATTGTGCCAGTTGTAGCACATTCCTAAAGGGTTAGCTAATGCCATCAATATTTTAAGAAATACTCTGTATTATCTGTAGTGGAGTAAATCCTAAACATGACAATATTGTAGTATGTGAAATGAAAGTTACTGGTCTATAAAAATAATTTCAAGAGTAGTTTTCAGATAACTAACCAATGCTTCATTCCATTTAACTACGGGGATAGTTCTCCCATGAAGCCGTAGGGCTTGTACTTGACAGTACAACTTCTACAGTCTTTGAATATTACCATATTTTGTAGTTCTTAAGGAACTCTCAAGAGGTTCTTGACACACTTTCTGTCTTAAAGTAGAAAGGTACCTCGGACAGCATGAAGATAGCTGTCACAAAGTAAGGATAAATTGAATGTGATAGGTAGTGTAGTGCTGTCCAGTCCACTCTGGATTTATTGGTTCCCCTTACCAAAATTAGTAAAACTTACTTTGAGCAGTTGAAAATATGAAAGAGAGAACTAAGAGGAATTGTGAAGTTTAACAAGAGATATGCGAGGAGCAATGTTTCTCTCCTGACACAACACACTACTCCAAGCAATGTTTGTACAGTAGTTATAAGCCCACCTACAGCCTCCATCAACCTTTCTTGTAAATAGCATCCTGTCCTATCAAATGTAACTGAACTTAAGTAGCAGTTTTCTTGAATGGATTAGATTCAGGATCTGAACTACCTCTGAAAAAAGATCCTGTTAGGGATTTGATGATCCGAGGGCTGGAGCACCTCTCCTCTGAGGAGAGGCTGAGAGAGTTGGGGCTGTTCAGCCTGGAGAAGAGAAGGCTCTGGGGAGATCTTATTGTGGCCTTCCAGTACCTAAAGGGGGCCTACAGGAGAGCTGGGGAAGGACTTTTTACTAGGGCATGGAGTGATAGGACGAGGGGGAATGGCTTTAAACTGGAAGAAGGCAGGTTTAGATTAAACATTAGGAAGAAGTTTTTCACTTTGAGGGTTGTAAGGCACTGGAACAGGTTGCCCAGAGCAGTTGTTAAGGCCCCATCACTGGGGGTGCTCAAGGCCAGGCTGGACGTGGCCTTGGGCAACCTGGTCTAGTGGGAGGTGTCCCTGCCCATGGCAGGGAGGTTGGGACTCGATGGTCCTTTCCAACCTAAACCATTCTATGATTCTATGATTTAATTCTTTGTCATCAGATGTTAAGCCTGAAGCTGTTTTTAATGTAAAGCTTAAGTATCTCCACAGGCTCAAAAAGGCGGCTACAGCAACTTATATAGAGAATTTTAAAAAGCATTTTAATGCTGCATATCAGCAAGTTCTATTGAATAAAGTACGAAAAATCTTAAAGTTGTTAAGTTGCTGTATTGAGCTTTACCTCTTTATTCAATAGATGTTAAATACAGATTTCCTGGTTTTGTGTTTTCTCCAATTCTCTTCCTTTCTTCTGGGATCCAGCTGCATTTTTCCCTGTTTTAATAGGGGAAGACTCATACAAGAGATGCACAACTAACATTTGTTAGAGTCAAGTATGTGACTTAGCCCCAAATTTTGCATTTGCTTCTACTTGACGTTCCTCTTTTTTTGACCACAAGATGAATCAGATAAAATGTCTGAGGTCTAGGAGTTCCTGTGTATTCCTCCATTTGGGAGTCTATTGTTATTCCTCCACCCACTTCTCCAGTCAAACTGGCCAGCAGAGATCACTTTGTCTTAGGAATCAAAGCAGGCTCCTCAAATTAGTTTTGATAAACAAAGAGGAAAGTGTGAGTGTTAAGAACCTCCCTGGAGTAAAAACAAATGTACCTTGTATCAGAAAGCAGTGTGAACAGTAAGCAGAATAAAAAAAAAGTTGAGTGCTCTCTGAAAGAGTAAGATTAACTGAGCAAGAAAAGCCACGGTAGGAACAGAAATACTATAGAGTGGAAAAATCTTTAACTTGGCCATATAACCATGACTTTAGATAGAGATGTGTAATGAAACTTTAAAAAAAAAAATCCTTAATTATTTAAGCCAGTGATTTACTACACAAGAATAGGAAGAGAATCCTTCTTTCTAAGGCAGTTATTTTTTAATAAATTTTCAGTACTAGTTATTTGTACAGTCACAGGACCAGTTTTAGCTTATTACAGTTAAGAATTTTAAGCTTATGTTAAATACTGCATACACATGGAATGTAATACAGTTTGCCATGCCAGGAAAATAGTGCCATAATGCTGACCTCCAGGGCTACCATCATGATTTGAGGGTATACATGGCAGTAGAAAAGCCTAAAACTTCTTAATACTCTGTCTTTTCCCAAGCCAAGTTACATTTTGGTTCCTGTGTATTATCCTACTCAGGATTAGTGCCTTCTCTTCCTCTACAGTTTGTGGTACTCCTTCATATGCAATCACCTTCCTCCCCCCTGCCCAATGAAGTTGAAAAATACTTCATGTTTCTAATGACAGCCCCTCCACAGGCTTAAAGAAACAGGCTTTGCAAGCATTAGTTTTAAGTTCACTCTATACTCCAACACCAATTTATGCTCATTATAAAAGGGCACATCAGATAGGCCTATTCTTTCAATATTTGACAAGGAGTACAGCCATAATGACTTTCACCATAAGAATAACCTGCCTTTCACACTAGGATTTTAGAATTAAGCTGTTATGCAAGATCAGCCCACTACAAAACTCCCTACTCAATAGCCCTGGAGATCAATCTAATGCACATACTGAAAATGACTTGTACTGAGGGATTTTAATAAACCACCTATTTAGTGTATTAATTTTCAGAGGAGTAACTATACATAAATGATATGTTCCAAGTTATGTGCAATAGATCTGTTTAACAGATTTATTCTTGTTTGCAAACACGCACAAAGAATTTTCTGTCTTCTATTCAAGCAGAAGAGTTACAATGGTGCTTTTGCTACTAACTATGGTATGCATTTTGGGGTTATATACCATTCCAGTTCACATGCCTCCTTTAAGTCAGGAATGCTCTTCAGTGCTGCCACTGAAAGACCTGCTCCGGACATGATTTCTCAGTTGCTCTATAAGCTCTGGATTCTGCTGCTGTATCTGTTGTGCAAACTGCTGCCCCCTGTATTGAACAGTATCCAGTAAAATCAACAAGTGAAAAAAAGTGACAAGCAGCATTTTTAAGAAAACAGGATATCCCAATAAAACTGAAAGGTGCATTATATGCAAGTTAACACTAAAGATAACTTGCTGTATAGTCTTAACCAACATATTTATAGTCTTATGACTTTAGCTAGTTATAGTCTCTCCAAACAGGATTATCATCAGATCTTCATTTTCATTCTTTAGGACTATTACTTCTACTTGATAACATGGAGTAAAAAGTATTGCTTTACTTGGTAAAACTAAAATATAGCAACAAAGGTGCTCCGTTATTTGCTTCCTGCTTTTTAATAGGATCTATTCTATTTGTTTAACGTAACTACCCTTGTAGTTGACGCGCAACCTTACATTCGTTTTTCCAGAAATACAGTGAGCAGCTGCCAACTTGTATTTGTGAGCAAGACACCATTAATAGAAAGCAAGTGTACAGTTACACCTTTATGCCTTGTATGACTGAAGTCAAGACACACCCATCTCCATAACAGTTGTAGCTTAAGAGTTAAACTAATAGGTGAGAACAATTCCATGTAAAAGATAAGCACAACACTGGTTTACTAGAAAAAGCAAGTAAGTTAAACATATTCCTTCATGAATAGCCTGGCATGGCTTCTCTGCAACTTCTGCATTTTGCCCAAGTAGCAAATTATCAAGACTCCTTTAAACCACAGTGCAGGTTGAAGGAATGCCACTATTTTCATAGATCTAGGTGTAGTACATGTTTTTTTTGTGAAAACAGCCCTTGATTTTGTGGGAGCACATTCCTGTCTGTGATGTGAATTATAAATTACTTTTGCCTGAAGGTGCAAAACTTAAAAATAGTTTGAAACACGCTAGAATTCTGAAATAAAGTAAAACTGTATGCCCTTTAAGAGGTCTTGCCATATAAGCAAATGGCATGTTTTTGTGCAGACTATTCCAGATGGATTATCATTATTATACTATAAAAGACTTGCGTCCTGGTTTTTGTAAAAGCTTTTCCTCATTATACTGAGTTCCCTGGAGTCTTCCCAGTCTAAACAGAGGGATGTCTGAGCAGAACTCGTTGCAATCTCTTCTAAGTAAATCTGTAGCTTTTTTTAACAGTGTCTGGGATACCAGGTAGTAAATTTATCAAGACAATTTGAAGCACATGTAGGAGTACTTAAAGATTTAAAGGAGCACTTTTAGTAAGTGTCCTTTTAGAAAGTGTATGACAGTGTATGACAACCAGAAAGTGAAACTGAGCACACAGTTCAATCATTCCAATAGATGAAAATGTACAAAGCAAACAAACAAGATAGTGGAAAATAAGTCTTCAGGGTCTCAGTTTTGATAATAATCAGGCGTACAATGGGGTCAGGCCACAATATAATTGGCTTGACACCATCCCTTTTAAATAGATGTTGCACAGTGATGCTTCTACAAATCTAACAGTTAAAACTATGCAACTCTTACTTACGCATGGATCAGGCTGGACAAATCCGACAGGCCACCAACACCAGCAGCAGGGCCACCAATGGCGTTTGACATCATCCCCGACATCCTGGAACAGTTAGCACAGTGTTGACATTGGGGTATGCAGGCATCTTTACAGTAAGCAATAAACTATAGTTCTGTTTTTAATTGCTGGAAGGAAATAAGCTGCAAGACGAACAAACTACAGTAGTTTTATTTACAGCAAGCAAAAATAAAATTACATTTTCAGGAATACAGTACTATCTGGCTTTTCTCTTATTAATTCAAACCGTAAAGACATTTGTTTTAATGGTACTCAATTTTAATACTTACAATTGTTGAACTTGAGGATTCTGCATTAAGCTTGCTGCCTAGAATAGACAATATATAGCTGAAATTATAACATATTTACTACATAGGTATCACTCAAGAAAATGTGGAAAAAACCTCAAAAATCCACACACTGTAGTCTATGTTTTATTACAAAATTAAGCTAAGTTTATGTGCACAGTATGGTCCCCAGCAAAAGGAATCATTACAGGAATGTATTTCAAGGATATGAAGCTGACAAAATTTGTTACAGGTTAGGTAGAAAATAGTGGTTACAGATTCAGACATGAAAAGTATGACAGGAAGACGTTAAATGTAGAAACCCAGTACCAGAAAACTAAACAAACAAACAAAATAATAATTAAAAAAAAATCACTTAAGACTTCCAAGGACAAAGATTTTCTATTGGGCTTTTTGGAGAAAAGTGTGTGTTTTGATTCCCAGCCTGGATAAATCAGTTTTGCAACTACTATTTCTACTGGGTATAAACTGTTAAGATTATGACCACAAAATATTGCAGAATAAACTGGAGTGTGGACCAATTTGTTAGCATGGTTTTGTAGTAACATATATCTTTTGCGGTAATTGCGTATCTTCTTACTTTGTAGTAAAAATGAGGTTATTTACATTTCTCATTCCTAAGACACCTCAAAAGTTACATTGTGTTTACCATAGTGTAAGGGTATATATGGACAGATACTATAGAATAAACCAGGTGATATTTGAAAGTTAGTAACTTACTTCCTACAGAAATCAGTGCCTATGAATACAAGACCAACAGGCACAATGCAATATCTGCTTATTCATTCTCTTTTGAAAGCTACTAAAAAAACCATATATACACTATATTCATTTTATTGATCAATATATCTCCATATATACATCTCAAAAGTAAATCAACTCTTTTCTCTATGTACTGTTGGATATAAAATGCCAAATTCAGGTCCACTCTATGGGTAATAAAGGATATTTTTTTTTACTTCTTCTATGAGTGTGATCTAGGTTAGAGGCCAAAATGGAGGCTAGAAGTAACTTTCTCAAGGTCAGACAGTGAGTCAATTTTTTCCTCAAAAACAAACCAAAAAACTACACCACAGGAAAATAATTCCTTCGTTCCTGGCTGAATGCTCTGTGTTCGATCCACTTGACCAGGCATCTTCTGGAAATAATGCAAAAAATCCTTTCCCCATAGTTAGCTCTATATTGAAGCGTAACAGGTGCAGACTGTCGTAGTAAGTCATGTGGCAAATAAAGTGGTACACAGAGTTCCATTGCTATTTAATCACCAGTGCCATCAGAGAACTCGCTCACTTCTTCCCTGCCTACCATCTCTATTATTTGGCCCAGATGCATTGATCTCTCTTGAATGCACTGCATTTCCACACGGAAGCACTGGTTGAGATGTTCTGTCCTAATGAAGCTACCAGAGGGGCAGTAAATTTTTAACTGTGTTCTCAAAGGAAATAAGTATTTTTTGCATCTTTTTTCTCCAAATTCCATTCTTCAAAGTCAATTAATACCATTTAGCTAAGAAAGCCATGCATGGAGAAAAACTACTGAGGGACAAACCCACAATTTGCCATTGTAGTGGAAGTAAAGGAATGCAGTGTATGTTATTTATACTCATTGTTTGCACATCTCATGAAGTTTTGCACAGTTCAGGATGTCAGGGATAATTTGAAAGAGTAAGAACAGAAAGGCAGAGTTACTTTAGTCTTGAGTACTGCATCTGAATCAACTGCTTACGAGATTTCTTTGTTAACTGGTATGTGGAGAATAGAAACGAAATTTTCACCATGCTGTTGACAAGTGTTTTATTATCATGCCATCCACAAAACCAGCATATCTAATCTATGCACATTGTTGTTCATAAGTAAAGTAGAGTCAATTGGAAATAAGACAGGCATTATAGGAGAATTATGCTTCACTTCTTGCTTTGAGTGTAAAATGACTTAGAAAAGCTTAAATTCAGTGTAATGAAACTACTGCCATTACAATAAGCCTTAACATTGCTTGTGTTATGTAAGAGTTGTTCTTAAAACTTCAGTTTTAAAAACAGTATAATATAAAGCTTAAAATATACTCACCATACTAATGAAGGCAGGATTGTTTATCAAGCTTGCCATGTCAAAACTCAGTCCAGTTCCAGTCTACAAACAAATTGCAATTGAAGATAAGTTTACCTACAAAATTCCAGTTAAAGCCACTGTAAATAAAGAGATACAGAGCTAACTTACAGGACTGGACATGTCTCTTAGTTTCTGTTCTGCTATTTTCAAATTTGACTTATAAGAGTCATTCTCTGGATCAAGATCCAGTGCTTTTTGGTAACTGGTAACTGCTTCTTCATATTTATTCACTGAGGTCAGAGCCAACCTAATGTGAAATAAAGAAATCCTGGGTAGAACATAAATGACCATCAAAAGGTAATGATACATTTTCTGTTCTAAGTAAAACTATCTCACAACTAGTTTTTAGCTTCAGTACTAACTTCAATCAAGTTTTGCTATTTTGCTACTACTGCTTAGTGTTAAGCACTTCTTTTAGCACGAGATGATCCTTCAAGAACTCATCTTGCATTTTCAGTTCCATATATATGCAAGTTTCATTAAAAACTCCTTGGCATTATCAAGTGATTTAATCTGTATTTGAGAGCACAAGCTGGATCCAGCATCTGTGACTTTTCACATAAGCTCAGGAATTCTTGTTTCCTCCAATTCTTTTGATTCATGAGATTATTCAAGAGGGTACATGGGAAAGTAGGGCAAAGATATGCTTAACGTGAGTTCTGCAGCTTCAAGAAATCAATACTGGAACCACAAGTTTTAGCATAATAATTTTTGTCTTAGGATCAGTGTAAGGTTCTTCTTTTGGATCTTCAACAGCTTGACAAATGGGTTATACAGGGCAGTAATAACATCTGTAAAATGCTGTAAGAAACTCTTGTATCAGGGAAGTCTGCTTAATGTTTTGAAAAAGCATCTTCTCCAGCAGCTCAGGAGAGCACAGAACAGATCTACTACTTTTGAAACAGAATTTGTTTTCAAATTTGATTACCTACTACATTTAAAACACCATCTTTCTTTGAGCTATTCCAGAAATCCATCTGGCTGCAGTTTCAATTCTATCTTCTACTGTAGTTTCAATTTATACTGACCACAAAAGTAAACTGATCTTTTCCACATTTTGCGAAAGATCTGTGTAACGCACGTTCAGCTATTTAGTACTCCAGTCCCCCTTTGGCATGAGCTGAGCTACACAGACTGGGTTGATAAGCCTGTGCTAATGCCCACAAACAGATCTTAGCCTTTTATCTCAGGCAAGAGTTATGTTAGATACATCAGTCACAGTCATTACTCTTCAGTGATGATGAACTCAATAGCAGTATGAAACTCCAGGAGTTTCCAGTAAAGCTCCTGGAGGAAACCACACAATATTAGTATTTTCTCTCTTAACACAGTTACTCCTATAAAAAACATTCTCCCTTTTGGCCCATTAACTTGCCAAAATAGTTTCTGACCAGTCAAGAAATGCAATCTGGTATTTCTGTGATGCAATTGTGGGGGTTTTTTTTTGGAGAGAAAGTATGTAAAATTCAGTACAACTCAGAACAGTGGGCGACAGTTTCTTTGCTCACAATTCCTATCCAGACAAATGCTCTTTCAGGGTCATGCTGGAAGTATCACTTTAACTGTCTACATGGCTCCCATTTCTGCATACTACTATGGCACTTCTGCATATTTCTGTGAAATATAAAGAGTTTCTGTCAAATCCTGAGAAAAACTAATATGCCTGCATAACGCAGTCAGAAAACACAGCTTTCTCATAAGGACTTTTTGTTGAGAAGGTGGTTTCTGCACTTGTTATTTTCAGTTATTACTAAACAAGCACTGTTTCCTCATTCAGCCTATGCCGACATATCATTACATCCATCTGCCGAGTTAGGCAATGGCTTGTAGCTCAAAGTATATCCTCTATCAAAACAACCAGACAATCAAAAAAAAGAGAAGCTTGATTGCCTGAGAAAGATCCCACTTACACTGTGTATCAAAAGGCACACCAGTCTTACACCCAAAACTCTAAAATAACCTCCAATTTCCAATTAAATCAGCCTGTGGCTTCCCTCCATCTCACTGAAATCAGGGGATCTCAGGTTGTGCTCTATGAAGAAACAATCTAACGAGAGTTAAATAGAACCAAACCAATTCAGCAATCCCTAAACTTTGAAAGTGAATTAGTCATCTCAAAAGCCAGTCAGGCTACATTCGTATTAGTAAAATAAACTGCATAGTGGAGAGTTTTCAAGTGATAGAATTCCATTATCTTTGATCTTAAATAAATGCTCCCTAGCATAGTTTTGTCCCAGGCCAACATGCAATATCCCAGACAATTTTGGGGCATGGTTCAGAACTTAACACGGGCCAATGCAATTTAGCAATAGGCAGTTTGTATGTCGCCACTCCATACTGCAAACTAGATTTCAATAACATAGGCATGGGCTATTTTGTGCCAGCTGACCCAACAAACAATCCCAAGCATTTTTTAATTTACTAGTGTAGATAGAACCTCAAAAGCCTTATGCAACATTCAGCCCACACCCACAATACATTTGATTATTGAAAATGCAAAAGCTACACATCTTGGACGAATGGCCCTTCGCTTAAGTAGATATCCCATTCAGAACATTCCTGACATTTTTTTCAGACAGCACTTAATCAGACCCACTGCCTAAAGAGGCTATACTATTACTATACTCTCAGGCATGACTCAGAAAAACTACCAAAGGGACATAGCTTAGTCCTGCTAAAATATCTGCTTCCAAAGAGCTATCAAACAGAAAAATTAAGCTTCTATTCCTGGTAGTATGAAGCCCCAATACTTTTAGGATCTGTTCTCTAACAACATCATTAACAGATTCACTGCTCCAACTGCAGAATTTTGATTACTCATAACTAGGCAGGAGGTAGAAAAAACACACCATGACTTTTTAAACTAAATTTGTGAAGTTAATAAACTGAAAGAAAAAAAATAGCAAACTGATGAAATCTGGTATGAAAATGCTGAGATCAACCACATATATTAAACTTAAAACTGACAGCCTGGTAGGGTCATCTTCAGAAAATTGCTACACTTTCAAAACAAGAACGTCAGCTAAGTAAAACAACCTATCTCCGCTTATTTCAGAAAAATCTATGGTGATTTACACTTGGGTCTTTCGTGTTTACTCAGATTTGTATTAGCTTACCCCATTCTCCCATATGCTTTGCTGTACTTTGGATCTATTGCTATGGCTCTCTCACAATCCTTTATTGCTTCACTGTATTTGTTGAGCTTACTTTGTGCAGCAGCCCTAAGAGGAAGACAACAGGGAAGGGAGAGTTTTGTTAGGAAAAAAAAACAAACAAAAACAATAGAAGAAAAAACCCCAAGCTTAAATTCACATGTCCATGACTAACTTTAGACTTGTTTAATCTTAGGGACTTTTCACTCACTATTTAGGCAATGCCTCAGCTTACTTCAGTTAAGCAGGACAAACAAGTGTTCTGAATTAAGTATGTGCTTAAGTGCATTGCTAGACTAGGGCTTTGGAGAACATGCACTCACCTTTTGAGGACAGAAAGGATAAATAATTCTAAGGAACTGGTTTAGATCCACCATGTGACTGCACAAAATACATCATAAAACCTATTACAAGTTAAACTCTCAAGTAGTAGTTTACATAAAATCATTGATTAAGCAGTAGTATTTTATACAATTCCTGTTTTCCAGCGAGAAGTATAGTTTTACTGCCATTCAAAGGAAAGCTGTGATTTTTCCCTGCTTAGTCTTTTAGCAGGCAACTCATACTTGCAGGTAAGTCAGGATAACATTTCTCAATAATCTCTGAATTACTAAAGTACAATTGCATCTGTACAACAGAGAATTACTAAATGTTGCATGCATTTATACAGTAAGATTAAAGACTTGCCCAAATTAAAAAGGACGTTGGAACACATTAATAATCAAAACTTCCCCAGCTTGAAAGGTCTCAAAACACTAATTTTTTCTTCCTTGATTAAAAAACTATAGTAGAAAAGACAATATTTCCATTGCATAAAGCATTCTATTTTATTAGGAATGCTAGATGGCTACAGTCATCACTATATTCAATCCTTTCTCCTGTGATAATCTGCAAATTGCATGTTTTTTGTGACTTCGATTAAAATCTTTTCTGAATGGGACTACTTACATATTTTAAAATATTCAGGCTGCTTAACAGTTGTACAGCTCCATAGGTGCCAGTGAAGATGTATGGATAAAAGCTAGGGACAATGCTTAGTCTCTCATGTGTGTGAACATAAATGTTTTTTCCATGTTTACAAAAAATTTATATAGCGAGTTAAGATGTCGAGGGCACCTCAGCTGTCTTTTTCCCAATGCTGTGAGTAAAAAGCAACGCTGTTGAAGGCAACGTGTTCTCCATTGCTCCCAAATTGTCTTAAGAAAGATAAGATTAAGGCCTATATTTATTCAAATACCGCATCACCCACAAAATTTGAAGCGACTGCCTGTCTTCTTTTAAGTAACTTCATACAATACTGTGCTTACTGACATCAGCTTCATTTTGGTCCTCACAAATGTGATATGTGATGATGTAACACACAGGGTGAAGTATTTCTATTCTTGTCAATTACAGATTTGCTGCTTAAGCCCACTCTACTGAGGAAACTTTCAGTGATCTTGGGAGGCTTTTGAATCTGGTCTTGTATTTCCATTTTATACCTAAAATCACTTATGTGATCAGTTTTCTCAAGGACAATAGATGATTTACACCTTGAACTGCCATAAAATATTAGTAAACTGTGCATTTCCTTTCTCTTTATGCTTGCCGTGAAGCACTAAATATTTCACTTGTATTTATGACAAACAAAACTCTGGAGTAATGGAAGCACAGCTCCAAAAATAGAAAAATCCACTGGGTACAGTGCCACAAGGACAGATAGACAGCACTTAAGTTAATATATCCTTCTGGTAACAGAGGCACTGAAGAGTGTAGAGCACAGTGGCTCTACAGCCAGACTACTTCCAGTAAGGCTCATAGACTATTCTGCCTTTGCTCTTATGCTGGTCTTCAGGGCAGTATACTGAAAGACGACACTTCTGCTGCTGGGTTAATGTGCACTTTCAGACTTCATCTGCTCCCATGTCACTATGTCTTCACTATGGTAAAGAATAGATCATACAACGAAATGACAACAGCAGCCTTGTTATTTTTCAACAGGTCACGCATAAAAATACCGAGTATTTATACAATGCTTGAAATCTCAAAAATGCTATTCCCACATTGATGGTAATTTTTCCAGGGAAAGCCAATACTAGGAGAGATAGAGGTGGCAGCTGAGTCACTAGAACACCAGAAAAAAAAAGGCTCTTACTACTCTCAACAGACTGGGAATCACAGCCTATGTTATGATTTAATGTAGACAATCTATCTCACAAAAATCTCATCTCAAGTGTTACAAGTAATTTTATAGCCTATATTACACCTTTAACCAATAGAGATATGCTGAATGAGCCTTTGGCTTTAGATCTTTTACAAATTTAATATGATAAATTTCTGAATAGTAGGGTTTTCCAGCCTCATGTTGTTTTGGTCTACTTCACAATTTATCTTTAAAATAATGTTAATGAAGTTTGGGAATAAAAGGCTTGTATTATTTTGCTTTTACCTGTTGCAGTAATAGACTGCATTGTTTGGATCCAGTTTTATAGCCCTAGTGTAACAATCCACTGCAGCACCATAGTTTTCTTCTTTCATATGATTATTACCTGAAATAAATTATAAAAATCTCTTAGGTAGTTAAAAGATACAATGCTATGCACGAAAGAAATAGAGCAGCCACATTATAGCATCTATATAGGGTAGTTATGACTGCACTTTTTTGAGATACATTCTTTCAAATAGAACTGGCATGGAATAATGCAAAAAAAAAAAAAAAAAGATCTACTATGCCTGTAAAGCTTATTATGTACACGTTATATTGTAGTCCACCACATAAACCTTCCCAATCTTAACTTGCTATTTCACATTTTCCAGCCAGTTTCTGTTGTTAAGCAAAGATCACTTTGTTAAGAAGTGTAATTGTAATTGAAGTTCTACTCTAATAAAGATTCATCAGTCTTAACTATCTTAGCAAGCTTCATAATCCAATAGGCTATATGTTGATTCCTTTTTGGTCTTATTTTCCCACGTCCCAGCAACTTGCTTGTAACTATCCATATAATATGGAAAAGCAGTAAGCCCCACTTCTGTGATGCCACATAATTCATTCATTAAGATAATGGAAAGGATGTAGAGCACAGGCAATCTGAAATTATTCTGAGGTAAAATTTCTCACTAACAAAGCTCAGAACTTCTACTCTATAATGCAGTTTCATATGTCTTTTTTTTTTTTAATCTAGTGAAAAAAATAGAAAAATACAACTTTTCTATGGAAAGAAAATTCTGGAGTAAGGCTTTTCAAAAGAAAAGATATCTTATGCACTCCTTCCTCCCCCAGGTTCTTTCTTTCCTCATGACAGAGTAGTAGAGAAAAAGTGCTAGTACTAGTACTAGCCCAAGCTTAAGGTTGTCCCTGGTCCCAAGACTACAGGTCTTTGGCCTGCTAGATCCTATAGAAGCCTTGGTTTCCCAGCAATGTCAAGAAATTGTCAGAAAAATTACAGATTTCCACTGACTTCCTTGTATTTTGGGAAAATATTTCAACCCTCTCCCAAAAGAAGCAAGAGAAGGGATAGCTCAACAGGTTACTACAGATGTAGATAACTGCATATGCAAAGGCTGGAAAAGTTCAGTCAGTGCAACATTTTGTCTCTGATAGAAAGCAAAAGACTGTGGTGCACGCAGTCTTAGGTGCCTGTGCTAACTGAAAACAACTATACTTGCATTTATTTCTGAACATGGAGAGCTTAATAAACAAAAACCAGATTTAAGTAACTAAGTATCACGAAGGTAGTACAAAACCACCTCTTCCCAACAGCAATATACTGGACTGTAATTACAGTCAGCAATCCCTGCTGGTGAGATGGCAGACTGAAACTGTAATTGTATGTACACCTTCAAAATACACACAGAATGTAACCATATCTATCTCATTTCACAGGCCAACCATCTAGACATCTTTCCTTTGATCTAAGGTAAAGGTGTGTACACTAAATCCTGTTGTCAGATAAAAGACTTGCAAGTTAGTTGCACTCAACGAGATTGCAGCAGCTAACATTTCTCTAGAACAAAACTGCCATCCATGACTATCAAAGTTGGAATTTCTGACACTGCTCTGAACTAAAGATGACCTGGGGTAAAAGGCTAAGATGAAGCCTCAGTGGGTACATTTCTTGCTCTTGCTCTCCCTCCAGCTCAGAATTGGCTAAAGGAAAACAGAAAAATAGTTAGACGTACTATTTCTGCTGAGATTAAGGAATTCAGGACAAAAGGAATAGCAAGTGTAATATTTTATTTTAATGCCAGACAAAAAATCTTAACACAAAAACCCCTACTTTTGAATGCGTGTCCTCTACAATGAAAATACTATCTATTGTTATAATTTATACTGTGGTGATACCCAGATCTTTTTAGGATCAAGCCAAAGTTACACTATACAAACCTGCACATAGTCTGTGCTCTTACATATCTTACATTTAGCCAAAGTGTCAAGTGATATACAAGGGTAGGCAAGTAAATTCAACTATTTACTAGTCTGGAGGGTATATTACTTCCTGGTTTTATAATAACCAAGGAAGAAAACACTAGCTATCTGATTTTGTTTTCCCATCCATTAGACAACTTCTACAGGTACTAGGGCTAGTTTGAGAGCAGAGGAGGAGCAGGCTGGAGGCCAAAAAGTTGAAGGAAGTTATTCCCTTGGTAAGAACTTACAGATAGAAATGAGGAAATGACAGAGTTATAGAATTACAGTATTAGAGAAGATATGGGCCAAATGGACTTCCCCAAGTTATCTAATTTATCTCCCTAACTCAGAGCAGAAAAGTACTCATAACTGAAAAGCACGATGATGGTGATAGATAACACTTGTGTGAAAATGAGGAGAATTTACCTGACAGAGCAGCATTAGAAAACAGGACAGGAAGTTTTAATTTTATTATGTGAAGTTAACCAGGGGCATTTCAAGCAGTTCCAAACTGCTTACTAACGCACCTGATAGCTGACACTTTAAATGGCCCTTTGCTTAAGTTTAGACCCTCTTCAATTTTTTCAGTAGAGGCACAGAATTGCTTTAGTAACACCACACAAAGACTAACACATAGCAGACATTAATTTAATTTCCTCAGTCTATTTCACAAATCCCTGTGGGCTGAGAGATGACAAGACAGAAGTCACAGATTTAAAGCAGGCACTGCTATAACACCCACACCTGGAAAGTGCTGAAGATCCCTACAGTCCAATAACCATACTTAGTGCTACAGATATTCTTCACTTTCCTACTTTTACAACTTACGAACTAATTTTCACTTGTGACCTAACCTTGTTTGACCTCTTATCCTTAGAACCAACAAGCTGATGAGCAAATTCAACAATTACGAAAACTTAAGTTTCACAGCCAGTAATGGTCTGCATTCATGACTACACGCAACCATTTTAAGGTAAGACAGACATGGAACATACTCTCAAAACCAGCCAAACTTTTCCCACATCATTATCCTGAAATTTTTGAGAGGACTACATCTGCCTTGCAATTAGAAACTTATTTTTTCTACAAGACTCAAATACCTGAAAATCCAACAGGTCATAAAAAAATGTGACTTATAAAGCATCAATCCACCTGATAACATTTCATATCAGTTATCAGTGCTACATGGCTTTTTTTTTTCCTCCCCCTTCTTTTCCGGGGCAAATAAAATGGATTCCTTCTTGGGTAGCATTAGTGAAGACTTCTATGGTACAGCTGCTTTCCGTCATGTAACAGCAATAACATCTATCAATCTGAAAATAAACAAGTGGCTTTTCTGCAATGAGCACAAAAATTATTTCATATATATGAAACACTAACCCTAGTAAGTTCACAATAATTTTTCCATTGGCTTCAGCTGGGTCAGCTTTTTACCAATGTTTCAGTATTCAGCTAGCACGTAACCCTTGACATCACATAACCTTTTCAATATAAAGTAGAAACTTGCATAGCAATTCCATGGGCAAACAGAGAAATCTATAATATACCGAACAATAACTATTCATTCTTTAAAGCTTCTGCTACTCAGGAATGTTGCCCACAACTTTACATGTTATCCCTTAGTTTTTAAGCAACGTCTTGAGCAAGGGAGTTAATAGACTATAAGATGGAGCAAATAACTTAGCCATCTTAAAATATAACAATCACCAGAGCATATAAGCTTTTCTGCAGGATGTGTGCTACCCAGCTTCTATACTATCACTATCTGTGATAACCCAAAAATCTTAATAAAAGCACAAAATGTTTATTCCTATGTTTATTACAAACCTTCATCCTTCAGTTGGTCAGCCTTTTCAACATCCTCTGGTAAAGAATCCGAGAGAGGCAGCATGTCATTCTGTATATAAGCAAACCAAGTTTTTTTTCCATTAAAATACAAGTCCTGATTTTATTAAAAACTTCATTCATCCTGGGCAGCATTGTATGAACAAGCAACCAGATTTTCTGTAGTGCACAGGAAGTATCAAAGAACTAAACATCACTAAAACATCCTTAGAAAAGAAAGACAGTTTTCTTTCTACTACTAAAAAAACCTTATGAATCATCACATATTTTAAGGAAGCAAAGGGGAAGAGAGCTGATATGTTTGTACAGTCTTGGTTTTCTAACTTCTGACTCTCCTATTTGCCATCCTGGTGGTTCCTGTGCTTCCTGTACTGGAGATCCCAGATAACACATATAATTAGTAAACATTTTTGAAGTTCCCATTTTAAGGTTAGTGTCCATGAAGAAGTTTTTAAAACTGAACAACTAAATTCTTTCCAGAAGGGATTGAGAAGCATCAGCATACTGCAAATGACCTGAAGCACTTCGCAGACATTTATCTCTGGGAACTGCAAAATGCTTAACTGAAGGATAAAATCCTTCAAGTGAGAACGAGACATTCAGTGTTTAGTAATTTTCCATATGAAATTGTCCTTCTCAAGCTGAAATGAATTCCTCCCACTGCCCCAAAATATTCTAATTCTGCTAGCTTTATGGAAATTTCACTTTTTTTCATGTTTTCCTTAAGTTTGCACATAATTTTGACCTATACAGCACTTTAAGGTTGTGTATACAATATTAAATCTTAGCATATATTGGCAGAGTAACTCTAGAGTCTAAATAAAATTCTTACCTTGTGAAAAGAATTTGTGAACATTTCTATCAAATGCTGTGGAGGTGCAAGATGAGTATCTTCCAGGTTAATCTTAAACACAGTCTCCAGACATTGAATGGCAACTTACAAGAAAAAAAAGAAAAAAAAAAGTCACCAGTTTCTCAACAGAAGTGTAATATCACTTATTTATTTATAAAGCTATGATTTATTTCCTTATTCAGCTAGTAAAAGCAGCTCTTTGGAACATATTATAAAATAAACAGAGACTACCTGCTCCCCATAGAATTGACTTGCTGAAAAATAGTATAAGCTATACAGAATCCATACGTAGTTTGGCCATTATTCGTAAACCAATTTAAAACTTTTGTTTCAATTCTTTCAATCTTCTTTTTTTCAAACATAAAAATATGAGGATTCAACAAAATCACTACAATTCATAATACAACTATGCATGTGTGACACACCCCACCTCAAAACACCAGAACTGCCATATATTTGTGTGGCATAACAGTTGGAAGAAAATGGCTCATCTTTACTGTAAAGAATAAATGCAAGATATTTATTACTATTATCTTTTTTCTGGAACAAAATATATTCATTTGAAGACACTGTCTATTAATAAAATGCTTCATTAATCACAAGCTTTTATCCTATAAAAAAATTAATAACTGCAGTATCTTTCACATGTTCTGTTGTAAGGATTAGATCACCCTCCTACACCTGCAATAATGCAAATACACTCACAACAAGCAATTCTAAAAAAACAGCAGAGCCAAATACCTAAATGAAGTTTTAAATGTGCTCACATATTTATAGACAAAAGAAGATAAATAGCAATTACTATATACAGCTCTGTATACATATGTATTCTCTTAATTATAGTATCTCAAATTATATCATTATTTTCCCTATCAACTTGAGAATCACAGAATTTTCAGAGTTGGAAGGGACCTCTAGAGATCATCTAGTCCAACTCCCCTGCTAAAGCAGGATTGCCTAGAGCTCATTCCTCAGGACTGCATCCAGGCAGGTTTTGAAAATCTCCAGAGAAGGGGACTCCACAGCCTCCCTGGGCAGCCTGTGCCAGTGCTCTGTCACCCTAACCATAAAGAAGTTTTTCTGTGAATCCAGTAGAATGTTTTTATTAAGGTATAGAATCTAACTGTTTTAAATTGAAAACTGAAGAGGAACAAGGAACAGCCTTTGTAAGGCTCAGTTTGAACAGAAAAAATACTTTTTCCAACTATAGATAACCAGGAGTAGCTGAATTCAAGTTAAGTATCAGTAAAAACTGAATGTGAGAATTTAAATTGAATTTCAGTCCAATGTTAATATAATAAATACAATTTGAATTCCTATTTGCATTATAATGAACCTGAACACTGACCCAAAATTAGAAAAGTAAAATTACTGAATGTTAACAACAGTTAAGGCCAATTTGAGGAGCCTATCTTCTATGTCACAGCTTGGAAAAAGAGGGAAAAAGCAGACTTGTAAAATAAATATTAAAACCTGGAAGATGTAATTTTTTTAAAACTCTGATAACATAGAGTAGAAATTATTCAGAAAAAGCCAAGTATGATACAAAATTCATGTTGACAACATGTAACAATTTAATATATTGCTAAATATGGATACAATTTGCTCCTAACCTATAAATGCTAAAAATATATCAATTTGCCGATTTAAATTACCCAGTAAGAGTGCTGAAGGATTTGGGTTAAACTCCTTTGTCTCCTGCTATGTAGAAAAACTTGATTCTTGTGAAGTAAGCACTGATTATGCTGAATTCTGAATTATATATTAATAGTACTTATTACCAGATCATAAAATCAGTGGAATTACATATCTCGTTTTTCCTTGTATGACTTAATAGGAAGCCACTTGCCATAGTATACTTGCCAATTTTCCCCTCAAACTTATATTCACCTAAAGGCATTCCCTTTCCTGAATGCATCACGTCATTTGTAGTTTTGCATAAATTTAAAATACAATCCCCTCCTTTATCTTTCTCATGGCTTTCAGTCTGTGACACCAATGCTCTACCATACAGGAGATTTTTGCAAAGTGCAGCAGTGCAAATTATGCTTAAAAAAAAATCCTGACTATAGTGTTATTACCAGTAAGCATTTCCATGAAATAATCAGTTATTATAGTGAACTCCCACATTTCTCCTTTAACTGAAAAATGGAATTTATAATCCTTATAAACTATCACAGGTGTAAGAAAATTAGAAGCAATTATGGGATGAATCCATAGGTTAATAATAATAACCATTGGTTAACATGCAAGCCAACAATAGATACCTGCGTAAAAATAAACATAGCCAAAACAGAAACTTTTCCAAATCAGAAGATGTATTAAGTTGTGACAAGATCAATAACTACCCTGTTTTAATATGACATAAAAACCCCACCCCAGTAAAGTCAAAGGAATGAAGACTTGGTTTTGTCTGAAAAGTATCATGAGACTAGACTGCCAGCACCTTACTGTCCCATTATCAAAGTGAGGCACTGTCAACTGCCACAAGCTTGATACCACCAGTAAGTTGGGAAAGACTTGCTACACACACTCTCAGAGGCCTAGGCAGTAGCTGAAGCTCGTACTGACCACCTTGCAAACCCATACAGATACCTACCTCTCTGCAGAACAGCTGGGGCTTACACAAATGCCTGCTACTTGGAAACAGGAGCACTTGGGCTATGCTGCAGCCCATCTCAGCGTCCCATTGCCACATAGCTCCAGGACTTTTTGCTGTCCAAGCACAAGCAGCAAGCAACATCAAGGAACCACAGCAGACGTGCAGGCTTTTGATGACTGAATAATGAGTATTAATTGGCCTGCTGAGGCCCCTTTAGTACTTGGTATCATCGTGCTTCATCTTGCGCGTAACCTTCCCCATCTTAAGTATTACATGGATCCCTCACCTTAGGAAGTGCATCCCACTGTTTTGCAAACACTGCCTTAGAGAAATGCATCGTGGTACATTGCTCTTAGAAGCAGAAAAAAGTCACAGCCTTGTGCACATTGTAAAGAGTTTCTGTGTTAATCCCACAAAAATAGGTGTTATAGACAAGAAAAAAAAAAAAACCAAACAGAAACTGTAAACCGGAAACAGAAATAACTCCCATTTAAACACGCTGTCTAAAATATAACTTGGAAGAGGTGAAGTTTCTAGTGCATACAATAGAGTTGAGCATTAACCACCAGAGATCTGTATCACTGCTCTAGATCCTAGGTTGTAGAGAGTATATTTCTCCAGTCTAGCTTCTAATTATTCTGCTTTCTCAAATTAAGGCACTTTTATTTGTTGTGGTTTGTACTGGGCTGGCCACTAAATGAACGACCGATGCTTTCTTTAACCTCCCTCGCTTCAGAGAGGGAGAGAGACTTATGGGTTGAAAAGAAACTAAACTACTTCAAGGAAATAGTAATAATAAAAAGAAAATATAACAATATTAATAAGAAAATAATGAAATATATACCATAAATACAAAACCAGTATCAAGCTCCCAGGATGACAATCATGTCACCGGCAGGCACTGGGAAAGTCCCAGACTGGACTCAGCAACTGACAGGAACTAGATTCCAGATCTGGATGCCAGAATGCACAGATTGGGATCAAAGGCAAACGAACAGACAGAGTCCTCCTTGGATGCTGGCCACTGAAGAAAGAGAGCTGACCCTTTGATCCCTCACCTTTTATACTGAGCATGAGGCAGATGGGATAGAGCATACCCTGCTGGTCAGTTTTGGGTTACCTGTCCTGTCCACACCTCCTGCAGGTGCAACCCCTTTACACTCTTCTGCTTCTGACCCTCAAACGGGGCAAATAACCCAGTTATCTGGCCTTGGGTGTTAGAGCAAAAAGTATAAGCAAGAGCCTCTCTGTGTACCATTCCCGGGTATTAACTATAAACATCAGACAGTATCACTGCCAGGAGCAGACACAGCCTGAAAAACATGCCATCAGTTTCAGTCAGAAGAATTAGAAGAGGCTTAACTGAAAAGTAAAACTACTGAAAATTGGTTCTGTTTTACCTCAAAACAGGACATTATTCATCATGCAAATACAAAATTCCTTGAGGAAATTTACACTGTCATTGACATTGCTATGTAATTCAAACACGCAGAATGCAGGTTATCAATGTAAGCGGAGGCTGAATGCATGCTTGAATTCTATTTTGATAAAGTCTCAATTCTATTTGCAGTGTTCTAGCTCTTTTTGTTATTTTGTGGGGAATGGGAACTGTTTAAATTACTTCTCGGCACAGCCACTTAATCATACAGTGTTTTATGTTTTCATAGACACCAAGTAGGTACATAAGGTACCAATGAAAAACATCAGTCAAATTTTTTCATCCCTTATGTCTCCACCTAACATTAAACACTTCAATGGGTGGGACTTGGGCTATTGCTACTCCACATGCACTAAAGATATTTTGCACAACTAAAATGAGTCAATTATTCAGAATGCCCGCCTCCTATCCTCTAACACATAGCATATGGTACCATGCTTTTTGGCAGGGAACAGCTCTAAAATTAGGATGTTGTATCTGTATTAAAATGGTAAATTTTACATCAGCATTTAAGCACAACTGAGGTTTTACAATATTTTTTGTTCAGAAAACAGAATCTTGAAACGGTTGATTTTTTCATATAGACATTGGCTACAGCTGTTTTTAAGACATGTTACCAGGTAAATTTTCAGTCCTAACCTGATGTTTATCAGTTTTATAATAAAACAAAAGGAATACCCTTTGTCTCTCATTATATGATTTGCAAAAACATCGCTTTCTTTCATCAGCTGAACATCATCATAACATGATACAGGTTAAATTCATAGATGATTACCACTTTTCAAATGTACAAAATGCTCCAGATCACGATGTAAAACCAAATCTTTTGTCTTTTTTTCTCTTGGGAGTATCCTTTGACTATCATGATACAAATGTTTTTTTCTCCCTTACATTAGTGAACAACTACACTGTAAAACCAATAGACACTGGAAGGAAGCAGGTTTATTTTTCTAAGTTTATGCCTCTGAGAAGCAGGACTTGCTTTGCACCTCAGGAAAGTCTACTCTCCACACCTCAGATTTCAGGTAACTTCTCAGTTACCTGAAAAAACTGAGATTTATTGCACTGCTGGTCCTAGACTTCCCCTTCTCACCTTTTGTTCTTCCCCCCTCTCTTATTGTTCTTCACTTGCTTAATTCCACATTGTGATACCACCTGCCATGAAGTCTCCCGGAATTAAGGAAAAGGAATAAGAGCAGTATGAAGGAGAAAGGCAGATACTATGAAGTTACAAAGGCTTAATGAGTGTCTGCCAACAGAGGAATCCACACAGAAGTCCGTCTTCATGTAGCTATGTCTACACATAGATGGACGTGAATGTATAACAGAAACTATACCATACTGAAAATATTTACTACCATGCACTCTTTGGAATAGCTATTCAAGTCTAAAAAAAAAAAAGCAAATTATTTATTTTATTTTCCATATTCTTAGGATGTCTTAGCCTTCCCTCACACATTACATCAAATTCTTGCAAGTATGACACAGGAGTTCTTCCCATATACCAAAAGCAATATATGGTAATTGTTTTGCTTCCTCTGTGGCCAGCACAGCTACTGTCAGACACAAAATGCACAAATAAACCAAACATAAAAGTAAAGAGAAAAAGAATCAGCAGGCAAAACATTGTGGGACACGTATACAAATCACTACCATAGTCTATATTATGGCACTGTTTAACCTGATGTGATTCAAAGTATCTGTTGCTCTAAATTAAGGTAGTACACATTTTGTAACTTTACAACTTCTTTTTAAATGAGAGATGTTTTAAATTAATAATCTCAGAAATATTAAGATCATGATCTTATTCACAGATAGTATTTGGTAGCAGTTACAGTCAGGTCACTCTGGTTACTTTCTATGATAATATACATCAAGCAATTTAACGCATGGGTAGGTATTATACATACATATATTAGCACCTTTATCACTTACCTTCCAAGCTTTCCTGTTCATCTGGAGTGAAAGTATCCATCTGACTCTGCTCTCTCAAGAAATGGATGACTGCATAAACCAAGCGTTTGACTGATGACATTTTGTAACTGATGAGTTTCTCCTATGTCTTAAAAAAACCATGATCTCTTATTTCAGAAAAACAAATTCCTAGAGTTTTCCAACCTCCCACTGACCTCACTAAGAAGCACACACAATACACAAAAAACTTATCCTTCACCAGAAAACCCAATAAAATGGTGCCTTGAAACAAGTGGTTAAATTGTATGGATTAGGGAGAACTCCTACAATCATCTAATCTAACTATCAGTAAAAGAGCACAGTTTTCCTCAGATTTATTCCTGCAGGAGAGTTCACCAAGGCTGAAATAATTTAACAACTTATTTTTCTTTTTTATTTTTTTAAAGTTTGGATTTTATTTCTAAGACATATGCACTTGGAAGCAGGAGCACATGCCGAAGTCAAAAATCAATCAAAGAGCCACACTGATAAATACAATGACATAAAGAAGCACACCTTAATAAAAGGTGTTCTGTCCCCCGACATTGTGCAGCTGAACGGTTTTAACTCACTCTGGACAAAAAACTGGAACACGGTGACCTCAGTGCACACTTGTGATTAGTGACACTGCTGGCTCAGTCTGATTTGCAGTCCGCATCAGCTGGGAGTTACATAACTTTAGGGTAAATTTTAGTTCCAACTTTCTGAGTTATTTTTCCTTAAATTTCCTTAGATTTAAAAGGGCACAACCTCACCCAGTCGCCAGGGATAGCAGGTTAAACAAGAGCCTTCCATGAACGGAAAGGCACGGACAGGGCCAACCATCGCTCCGTTATTTTCCCTCCACAGCCCCCGCGCCAAACGACGCGCCGCCAAACCCAC